TTTTTTTTTTTTTTTTTGGGTACATTAGATGATAGGCCGATAGGGTCTACAACTCCCCTTCTTATAATCCCTCTGCACCCATCTCAAGGCTTGAACCTAAGACCTCCAGCTTTGAGTCTCAAGCTCTTAAGTCTTAACCACTTAGACACTCCCTTGGGGCTAATTTAGTCTGAGTTTGTTGTCTCTTTGTTGATCCTTGGATGGTCATTTTCTCCTTACTTGGTCTGTAATACATATCTAATTTTAAGAATACACCATGCAGGAGGAATGACAGAAGAAAAGAAAGTCTTGAGAAGAAAGGCCCTTGCCAAGTGGTTGAAGGAAAATATCTTGAGACTTGGTCCTACTTTCATCAAAATTGGCCAACAATTCTCCACAAGGGTGGACATTCTTGCTCAAGAATATGTTGATCAGTTGTCAGAATTACAGGTTGAAGTTTCTTTTCTTGAAATATTAACTTATATTCAATTCTGCGTGAGAAAAATTGGATCAACATTAAGCGTGTAAAGTGTGGTTTGATTCAAGGATAGATCCTTTACTGTGGTTTTAATCATTAATTTGATATTAGCTTTCAAAAAGCAAGCTCAATAAGTCTTTTTTCTCTTTTATGATTTTTGAAAGAGAGTTGCCTTCTGGCTGTTCATGGCTATCTTTTCACATTTTCAATTCTTTAATTTGCTGATTATGTGCAGGATCAAGTTCCACCTTTCCCATCAGAGACAGCAGTATCTATTGTTGAAGAAGAGCTTGGAGCTCCCTTAGATGATATTTTTGATCAGTTTGACCGTGAACCAATTGCTGCTGCTAGTCTAGGTAATTATGATCTTCATCATGATACTTTGAGATTTGGAAATTTTCTGCAACTGCTGAACTAATGCAGAATATGCTCAAGTGTGTGCAAATGTAATATAGGTTCAAATCATGTCACTAGAATAGGGTACCTTATGGAGATTCGCTTCATTGATGTAGAGGAGCTTCAATTAAGCTAATCTAAAAGAATTTAAAATTACTTCATCCAAGATGAATGGTACCAAGAAACTTCAGAAAATCACTTTATGTTCTACCATGTGTTTTATTCATAAATTTAATAGTCTGGACATTGTGTATTTTGGTTTTACCATATCAGGTTTTTTGGAACTTAATAAGAGTCATTCTTTGGATCCACCACAACAAATTAAATACTGAAAACATAAAATGAAGCAAGCTGCATTTCTTTTTCATGTTTCTCAGTTCTTCGAGCAATAACAGTAGATTCAAATTAATAAAATCTAAAATGTTTAAAGAAAGTAGAAGCAGGTATCAATATCATCAACCAAAAAAAAAAGGGGGTATCAATAGTCTTACCAAAAAATTACTTCATAGATTTTGTAGTTGTTTATAGCTAACAAAGAATGGAAGCAACAGAACATTCTTCTTTCTTCTGTATGCAGGTCAAGTCCACCGGGCAAGATTGAAGGGACAAGAAGTTGTTGTAAAAGTACAAAGGCCTGGTCTCAAGGGTCTTTTTGATATTGATCTTAAAAACCTGAGGGTTAGTAATGCCACCTTTTTCTTTACCCATTGTCAATCCATCAGAGCTTTACTCAGTGGTGACTTTATTTATTTATTTATTTTTTGTTAGTATTTGCCATCTCTATGGTTTCTATAGATGGGTTTTGTCCTTCCATGTTCCATCAGCTAGTCAAAATTGAGAGCTTTTATAGATAGATAATTTCTCATGTTTTCCATGACAACTGAAATGCTCTCAATATTAATGTGTTTGAGAGATGCTTCTGGGATTTTTGAAGTTGTAAGGATTAATGAAGGATGAAACTTTTGATTCATGTTAACTTAACACATTTTCTTCCTGCACCCTCTCATTTCTTTCCTTCTGGGTCTCAGGTAATAGCAGAATATCTTCAAAAGATTGATCCCAAGTCTGATGGTGCAAAGAGGGACTGGGTTGCAATTTATGATGAATGTGCTAGTGTGTTGTATCAGGTATTAATATTCACTTATTTGTTGCTGTTATGATTAGTGAAAGTTTTAACAATCAACTACATTGTTTCTCTTTTCATCAGCCTAGTTTGATGCCACATTGCCTGCAATAGCTTATAGTTGTCCATCAATCTATGCTGGGGTTGGCCAAAAAAAAAAAATATATATATATATATATCTATTCTGGGAGGTTTCTTGGTTTAGCTTTTTAATGAAGTTTATTTGTTGCATATATTAAAACTTATTGCCTAGAAGATTGAATGGTACAGACTACAGGGGAAAAAAAAACAACATGTGAAATGTCAACTCTGGTACCCACTAACTTGATGCTAAAAATGTAAATAATTTTTAGGAGAAATTAAGAAAAATTGTGGTAACTTGTTAGGGCCTTACTTTTGGAGTTATGGCCAGGGGTCCGAATCTCTACTTCTGTCAAGCGTACTAACCTAATAATACTCCCATGAATGATAAATAAATAAAGTACCAACAACAAGGTACAAAAGAGGCAACTAAGTTGCCTGAAAGACAAGGGTAAGACTGATTTTCTATCATTAGTGAAAGACATATGATTTCACAACCTCTCTAGATATATGACCATGGGCTTTGTGGCACAAACTCCTTTGAAAAGTTCAGAATAACATAGAAGAATTGCTGATTTTAGAAGTATTTTTTATTTGTTATTGACATTTTAGAAATTCTAAAATTATTATTATCATGGTAACCAATAACATATTACTCTCAGGAGATTGATTACACCAGGGAGGCTGCTAACGCCGAACTATTTGCGAGCAACTTCAAAAGCATGGATTATGTCAAAGTCCCAACAATATTCTGGGATTACACTACACCACAAGTATGACATTTGCTGTAAAGCTACAAGCTTTGAGTGTTAGATTGTTAGAGTTATCATATGTTCATATTTTTATCTGTAGGTCCTGACAATGGAGTATGTCCCAGGGATTAAAATAAATAAAATTCAAGCTCTAGATCAGTTGGGTGTTGATCGCCAAAGGTTGAGATAATCTCCCTAGTGAAACTCTGTTCACAGTTTGCCTTCTTTTCTTACATTCTAAGCACTCCATGCTGACTCAGTTGAAAAGAAATCATTTTCTTCTATCTCTGTATAATTATAAATTGTTTGTTTTGTAGGTTGGGTAGATATGCCGTTGAATCTTACTTGGAACAAATTCTCTCTCATGGCTTTTTTCATGCTGATCCGGTGTGTCTCTGCTGCTTTTCCAGTTTTTGGGGTTAATCAAATACATTAATTAGTTGAATGGAAATGCAATGCAAAGAGGGCGTTTTCTTTTTCTTTTTTCTCAATACAAAGGGAATTAAGTTCTTGCACTTGCATATGCTCATTCACAGTGGTGTGTATACTTGCCATATTTTCTCATATGTGACTTGCCTACATTTGAATTCAAAGCATGCCCTTTGAACAACTCAACAAAATTGTTGAATTCACTCAGGGCAAAACTTTTGATGATATATTTATTCAAGAAGGCCTTCATAAACTATTGAATTAACATCTTGCGTGTGCCTTAATTTTTAAATTGGTGTGTGGCCCAAACACTAGCCTTAAACTGAATAATGGAAATGGTATACAAGGAATTGACTAATCTAACTAGATTCTCTTTTCATCTCTTTATTAGCATCCTGGAAATATTGCTGTTGATGATGTTAATGGTGGGCGATTGATCTTCTATGACTTTGGAATGATGGGAAGGTATGTACTTAACGGCTATTTACAATGACAATAAGGGCTATTTACAATGACAATAAGTTTTTAAAATAAATTCTTTCTGAATATTTCAATTTTGATGTTCTCTAAAAATGTTTGTTCTGTTCTCAAACCTTGCAGCATAAGTTCAAACATTAGAGAAGGTTTACTGGAAGCATTCTATGGAATTTATGAGAAGAATCCAGATAAGGTGATTGTGTATTGGAGCATGGTGGTCTATGGTCACACCTTCTTGTAACAACTGGAGTTATCACAAGTTACTTTATAAGAAATTAATCATGTTGTGATTCCCATGTTCATCTTTGATATACTTATCAATGGACCCTGACCTTAATTCAGGTCCTTCAAGCAATGATTCAAATGGGTGTTCTTGTCCCAACTGGGGATATGACAGCTGTTAGGCGAACAGCACAATTCTTCCTTAACAGGTTTGATTGAGATTTTTCTTCACATCTCTTTCATTTTTCTTCCTTCAAGCAATGATATTGTCTTGAAGTTAAAAATGGTTAGGTGCTTCCTCTTAACAATTGTGGTCAAAGAAACAGAATTGATTATAGTTAAAATGGAAACAATATGCTTAGCGAAAGGAAAAGATTTGATAATGGTTCTCTTAGCTACTTCAACAAAAGTTGGAATATTTGTATTTTTAAAAGTTTTCTGTTACAAGTTACAACCATGTTACAAAATACTGCTCCATCTTGATGACTCTAGTCTGATGTCAACTATTGGCCAAATCATCTTTGGTGCCTGGAAAAAAAATTGTCAATGCTGAGATGGTCTTTCATATGGATCTAACTTTAACCTTAGAGATGTAAGTCCTTGGTAACTCTAGTGAAGGGGTGGAAAAAGTGATATGTGTTGTTGTTTCTTACACTCAAACATTCTGTTGATTATGAAAATGGATATGAAACCATTGCAGTTTTGAAGCGCGTCTTGCTGCACAGAGAAGGGAGAGAGAAACAGCAAGGACAGAACTTGGATTTAAGAAGCCATTGACCAAAGAGGAAAAGACACAAAAAAAGAAGCAGCGACTGGCTGCAATTGGTACTTCACTTGGTGCTATTTTATACAAATATATTGGACTTTCGTTATTAGATTCAGGCATTATTTCAGTAATGACCTGCTAAGATCTAACCAAACTATCCTGTGAACATATTGTTAGGTTTGTTCAAATGCCCTCAGGGATCTTTGTGGAAGAGCCATTATTAATAGGAAGAATTTATTCCTTAAATAAATTACACAACCTATCTGTCTTCTTATATGCTCACTTCTATGGGTTGGTCTTGCTACTCATGACTGTTTTATCATGTTGCAGGTGAAGATTTATTAGCCATAGCAGCAGACCAGCCCTTTCGATTCCCTGCCACATTCACATTTGTTGTTAGAGCTTTTTCAGGTGATAAAGTAGAAATCAGGTGGATTCACTGTTATATTGTGGTCTATGAAATAAAACCTCACAATGCCATTTTACTTCCTCTGCAGTACTGGATGGCATAGGAAAGGGCCTGGACCCTCGGTTTGATATTACTGAGATTGCAAAACCGTAAGTGTGGTTTAGCTCCAGCAATATTTAAAAAACTTCTCATCTAATTTCTTAGATTTGTATAGCCTGTATCTGATGTGTTTGGCATGGTATGCCATGTAGGTATGCACTGGAACTATTAAGGTTTCGTGAAGCTGGAGTTGAAGTTTTTTTGAAGGTAATCTTCAACTATTATTGATACTACCATGAACTATTTTTTTATTGGATAATTTCCTCTCTCATTTTACCTCTTTGAATGTTTCAGGACCTCAGAAAGAGATGGGACCGGCAGTCCCGTGCATTCTACAACTTATTTAGGCAGGCTGACAGAGTTGAGAAGCTTTCTGAAACCATCCAAAGATTGGTAAATCTAAGATGGGGGTTTTCCCACTGATCTTTTGATTTGAATGGTTTAAATATTCCCAGAGTTTTTTCATTACCTTCAGTTATTAGGTTCATGCCGTGCAATGCTTGGTTTTTACAGGAGCAAGGTGATCTGAAACTTCGAGTGCGGACTTTGGAGTCTGAAAGGGCATTCCAACGAGTTGCAGCTGTCCAGAAGACAGTGGGGAGTGTAAGTGTTACTTATCCTCAGTCTTATTTAGCTAATTTCTTAGTTCAATGGCATATTTTCTTCATTTTTTCCTCAAGATGTTGAAGGATGACTCTCATAACTGACCTTAACATTTCTTCTGGGTTGCATCTATTATAAAAACAAGGTCTACTTCACCTTAACTTCTTTCTTGAGTACTTTGTAAGTCATTGCATATATGGGCAACTGATGGAGCTATTTCAATTCTGTGTTTTGCTGGATACGTGCAAATTAGGTGGGTCCCAAAATACAAATTGAAACAAAATATAGTGGGACCCACCACTTTTTTGTGCATCCAGCAAAAGCCAAAGTTGAAATAGCTAAACCTGTTCTGTTGGCAACTTGTTTATTAGAGATATAGGCCAAAAACCATCCCCTTGGTATTTCTTGAATAACTGAGTGCTTGGAGATATGCGTACTAGATGAGAAGTGTCTGTGTGTGCATGTGATGTTTGTTTGTCAATTGGGGGTGCTTGGAGAAGACTAGGAAGGAGCGCAGATGCTGTGATGCAGTGGCAAATACTGACTTAATGGACTTGTTTATGGTACTGATGTAGTTCTATAACCATATCAATCTGACTTGACAAACGTTCACTATATTAAAAAAATAACTATAAAGTTTACTGTAGTTGAAAAGCCCTGTAGCTCATTTATTTGTTTGTGCATAGAAATTTCTAAGTTGTAGATTTTTTTTTTTTTTTGGCTGAGAAACCACCAGAGGGCTCTTTGTTTCTTAAGAGATGGATCGTAATGTTCGGAAAATATTTGAATGTTTTTCTAAAGTAGGATATATGCTCAACTGTTCTTTCTTTGGCTAATCAACAGGCAGTAGCTGCTGGAAGCCTGATCAACCTTGCAACAGTTTTGTATCTGAACTCCATTCGAGTAAACCTTCTATTTTTTTAGTTGTGTACATAACATATATTTTTATTCCTGAACATAACACACACGTACAACACCCAAGCAAGCACAGACTCGGTCTCACACATTGAATCATTTGCTGTTTTGTTATCTATATAGGTTCCAGCTATTGTGGCATTTGTCAGCTGTGCATTTTTTAGCCTTCAAGTTCTCTTTGGCCTTATAAAGGTCAAAAAATTTGATGAACGGGAAAAATTAATTACAGGAACTGCTTAACCAGTGGGTGAGTAAATCTTGTTGAAGAATACTCTTTGCCTTATTTGAAGTTCCTTCAGTTTTATGGTTCAGGAAAAAAAAGTATTATTAAATGGTAAACTTGGAGTTGGAGTTTTGTTATGGACTTGGTCCTTTTATAAACTTTATATTGATTTGATAACATTATTTTCATCCAGTAGCATTTGTTTACATAAGAGACTATCATATTGCTCTTATTAACCAACCATATAAACATGCGCAATTGGCATGAAAGTACAAGATTCCTGTTGAGCGCTCCATTTATTTCTTTTTTAAATTAAAATGTTTAGCTATTACAAGAATTAGAAATCAAAATTTAAGAATACATTCCAACAAATCATGGCTTTATAATAACATGTTATCGTTTGGCCAATACCTTATGCAGAGAACTATTAACCATTTCCATGTGCTGTCAAGGTATTCTCATATTTTCATATTTTGTTCATTTCATCTAAAAGGAATACTATTAGTGTTCCTCTGTAGGTCATAAGAGATTGGGAGATTTCAGCTCAAATGAAGCTCTTGGTGACAAGTTGAGCTTACAGCCTTGGCACTTCCTACTTGCATTTGAATTCTGGATGTCGGCGGGTGGATCTGATCCCATGTGCTCTTTCGAGCTGAGAGAGGGCTTAACGATTTGTTGATCTAGGCTCATGATTGCTTGGCCAATAAAGCATTGCGCTAACATTGAAAATATTTCCTAGTTTCTAGAGTTAGTGTTCTTGTTCTTGGCTGGCTGATCAGGGTCTTGGGTGCACCTCATGTTTTATAGCAGTAGAGTGAAGTCGCAGCAACTGCAGGTATATATTAGCATTCCATGTTGCCTCTGAGACTGGCATGTGTGTCTATAAGCTGTGTAATGCTGTAATGTAACATTAAGAAGTTTTCCAATGAAAAATTAGAGTGATACGCACCCATACTGAAAATGAATTATTATTCTTCTTTTTCAGATAAAATAGGTATTTAGACTTTTAAACCGATCAGTTCTTCAGGTACATGCAATTGCTTTTTGAATAGACACTAGGTAGCTAACGATCTGTTATTTTGAGTAGAAAAAGCTCGGTTTCCCTTAAGTAAGTTCTCGAGTTCGAGTCTTGTGAATAGAGAGAAACTGGTGCTGAAGAACTCTCCCTTATTAGGTCGACACGATTTGATTTTAGATTAGTTGGAATCTAACGTAGTTATCGGATATTAGGTGGTTAATACCAAAAAAAAAAAAAACATTAGGTGAAGCTCCATCCAGGGTCTGTTGAATTACTTTTCTCAGGTTCTAAAAACACTGTCCCGTCTCTCCCTTTGTCCTGTTCCCTCATTATTTAAGTCCATTACTTTGTTGATGCAGACAAAGCTCGAGACAAGATCACGATCCTAAGTTCCTAATTGATTGATATTCGTTAGTTAAATTGACGTAGCAAACAAGGGAAGATTCAATCTGTCGGAAATGACAACAAATTTTTTTGAAAGAGGTTTGTATATCTTTGAGCTATTATTTTATATAAAAAAGGTGTTTTCCGTCCTAATACAATACATACTGCACAAAGTATTAGACTCATAAATATCAAAAAAATTAGCAGACACCGCTGAGGTCATTGTTATATTTGAACCGTCTGCTATTTCCCTTAGTTGGAAAATTAATAAATTATATATGTTGACACCTGATTTGGTGATTAAGTGGTAACGTGTTTGTTAATGAGGAAATGTGCAAATAAGGGTATTTATTTTGTATTTTTTATTTAAATATATTACTTTTATCAGTTTTTTTAAAAAATAATAATTTTTAATTTTTTTATTTAAAAATATTAAATTTAATTTTTTCTATTTAAGGATCTCAATTTTTAATTTTTTTCTTTTAAACATACTAATTTTTAATTTTTTTATTTAAAAATTAATTAGATAGTAGTATTGTCATTGTAAATGGATTTTTTAACTAAAATGTTGAAAGTTGATATTTTGAAATAGAAAAAAAATTAAAAATTAACATTTTAAAATAAAAACAGTTAAAATTTGATATTTTTATTTAAAAACTAACAAAATTAACATTTTTAAATAAAAAAACAAAATTATGATCCTTATTTACATTTTTTCTCATTTGATATGAGAACACGATTTGTGCTAGAGTGCAGTTTATTTAGTAAGATACAATTTCTCTTGTACAAAAGAGATAAGTTTGAATCACTCATTTCTCAATATGTGTGCATGTGTGTGAGTGTGTGTGTATATATATATGATTTGTTATTTCAATTATGGTTGATAATTTCTTAGAATTAAACGACATAATTATATATTAAGACACTAATTTATTTTGAAAGTCAGAATTGATATGCATTTATATATATATATATATATGATTTGTTGTTTCAATTATGGTTGATAACTTGGTTGCTTATTGAGATCAAATCCAAATTTGATGAATTTAGAAAAAATAATAAATAAAACCTCTAAAATATGCCTTTAACAGCTAAGATTTATAATGGGATGAACTGAAAGAGCAAATAAAGAAAGAGCAATATCTAGGGGACACAGTTGGTGTAGACATAATCCTCTGGAAAAATTATGGGATAGAGTTCCCAGAATTTGCATGACAGAAAGAAGGAAGCAGGAAATCTCATTCTGCTATGCACAAGATGTTGAGTAGCAATTAGAACTCAAGGGCTTGTTTGAGTCATTAATTTGAGGTGATTTTGACCTGTCTCCGGATTAATTCCTTTGGAGTAAGCTCCAGCCTCAAGAGCATGGGTTGGCTCTTTTTGTTGACCGAGGAAATGTGTGTTACAGTGTTGCTGCAGGAAGTAGCTTAGGTGAAGAACAGCATAGCACAGCTGAGATAACAACAACTCTAATCGAAATACCTGCAAAACCCAAGGTTGGACCTTGCGTAAACACTTTGATACTCAAGTCGGTACTTAGGGGATTTTAGGAAAGAAAGGCTATTCTACTAAGTAAACTAAAGGTGTAATAAATCTATTTTAGATGTAGTGGTTGTAGGAGTATTTATAACTCTCAAATGTTACTTTCCATGTGGCAAATCCTCCTTTTTCAAGCTTGTAGCGCTACAATGTATTGTAGTTTCATTGAGGTCCATGAAGATACATTAATTCTTGTGTTAGAGCATTTAAAGCGATGCCAATGTCATCTAATAGAACCAAGGGGCCAAGGGGTGGCTGTGTTTTTTCGGTCGGGCATTCATCTTGAGGTTGGATGTTTGGATTGGTCCCCCACATACTGAGTGCAGGGAAGAGACTATATGTTTTGTCCCTAAGATTTAGGATTTTTCCCATCTTATAATTGTAAGTTAGATTAATTAATAAATAAGTATCATTTTTTTAATTTAAGTATGGTAGTTCAGTATTGAAAAATTTTAGTTTTGTTGAACACACCATGTGGGGTGTGCTATGCTAGGTCAAATCCATGAATCCTTTGAACACATGAACCCCCCCCTTTTTTTTTCTTAACTAAAATTAAATGACCACAAGAACTTTAGACAATATAAATTCCTTCAAGCACAGATGATTTTGACATGCAATAAATTTTATATCATTACATGTAGTAAATTATTGAGTATTAGTGGGGAAAAAAGAAAAAGAAAAAAGGAAAAAATGGAAAAAAAGGAAAGAGGGAGAGAGATAGAAAAGGACGAGACAAAGGAAACACTCAGTAAATCTTGGCTGTGTCTGTTCCATGAAAGGATTCTTACATGCTTTCTTGCAAGAGTCAACAGTAAGTTCCCTTCCATGTCAATGTTTTCTTCAAAATAAAGTTAGCTCCATTTTTCCACAAACATAATACCAAATAATTCGTCTCTACATAAAAGAACTTGTTCCCCTTTCATGACCCTAATGACCAATCTGTTTCAAGTTTCATTTATCAAACAATAGAGAAACAAATGATATAAAAAGGGGTAAGGATTGTATAATGAAATATTTGTTGATTTAGAGGCAAGTTATTCCATTAAATACCTCCAATGATAACAAACGGGTTATTAAAGTGTTAAGAACACATAAATATTAACTTTTTTTCATAAATAGCTAATTATGATATTTGAAAAATAATTAGTGTATATGTTAATTTTAATTTGTTAAGTAATAAATATTAATTATTTTATCATCTATCAACTAATAATTATAGGTATATATTATTTTTAATAATCAAACCAAATAAAACCAATTATTTTTAAATATAATACTTAAAAATTTATGTAATCCTAACACTTTATCGTGTGGTTATAACCATACCCATAATAACAAATCTATTGAAAAAATGACATTGTGTGCAAAATTACAATACAAAAAATCTATAATTACAACACCATATAGCAATCTCAAATATAGGATATGTTACATTCAAAACCTTTTACCAAATGATATCCTCAATTTCACTTTCTTGAAAACCACAAAAAAAAAAAAAAAGAAAAAAAAGAAAAGAAGTTACTAATCACACTTCTTGTATTTGAGACTTTGTTTGTCAATATTATATCCTGCTGTATTATATTTATAAATTTTTTTTATCTTTTATTATATATAAAAATATATAAAATATTAATTAAAATTAATTAATTAATAATAAATATATATATATTTTTTACATAAAGTGCCACCGAACAAAATATTTATACAATGTGCTGCTGACAGATAAAGCCGGAATGTGTACCCGACAAGTGCCGGAGGGTCTGGCATTTGGCAGATTCAACTCACAACAGTGCTTTGGTGGTGCCATGCCCAACTGCCAACCCCCCAAAATTACCATTGTTTAAAAGAAAAAAAAAAAAAAATTTACCAATCTTTTTGGTGCCCATGTATGAGAAAAATTCAAATTTGTAACTTCATATTGGGGATTTCCTTGCCTCTTTTACTAATCTGTCAAGTATCAACATAGAGATACTCAGACACGCTTTTAACACTTGGTGGATGAATTTGGGAATCTGAACTTGTCAATTGCAATAATCAGCATTTTGACCCTTAAGTTTTCCTTTTCCTTTTCCTTTTTCTTTTTCCATTTTTTTTTTACTAGTACAAAGTAATTCTGAATTTCTTGATTATATTATAATTTCTTCTAGGAAAATAAAGGAGTTTGAAAATGAAAACACTTTATTACTAATTTTATCAAGTGGGTTGTAAAAGTTAAAAGCGTAATGGTGACATGGAATCAAGCCTCAACTTTAAATAAAAAATCAACTATAAAATGTTGGGTTATACTATGTTCTTAATACAATTATTATAAAAAAATTATTATAATAGTGTGCATTAGTTTGATTCTCATTAAAAAAAGTATTAACTTTTAAAATATTATTTTTAATGAATATTTTTAAAAATCAACATTAGATTTAAAATTTGTGTTACATATATGTAAATTACGTATGTTAATTTTTAAGTTGATCTAACATTCAAAATCATTTGATTATGAAACTTGTATTTTTAATATTAAAAAAATATTTTACAATTTAAATTATTTTAAATTGTAAAACATTGACTCTTCTAAGATATATATAATATTTTCAATCAATTTCTTATATAATCAATACATTAGTTAAATATATTTAATTAATGTAAAAATTGATATGTATGATAGATATAAATAAAATATTGAATTCAATAGTTAGTTTTTAAAAATCTTCATTTGTTGCTTTTAAAGTTTTAAAGTTTTAAAGTTAAAAGTCCAAATTTCTTTTAGAAGTGAGATTCATATACACGATTTTCTTATAAATTCATTTTCAAAGTTTTTCCTTCTGTGATGGAATTATCATTTTCAAAGTTGAAAACATCAAATAGGTGTCTTTTAATTTAGACAGGATAAAAACGTGCATTTGAATTATGAATTTATTAAAATATTTTTAATAAGACTTTCATACAATAATTTGTTAAAAATATTTTAATAATTTTAATATCTAATTAAAAAACATAATTTTGATTTATAGAAAGTTTTTTTATTTTACAAAGTAATAGAACATTGATAATTAAATTGGAGAGAGTTTAGTATCACATAACCTATCCTCTTGAAATGTTTTATGTTATACAATGTGAATGTTTAATACAATTTAAATTATGCAAACTCTAATTTATAATTTCTGTAATCAATGTACGTAGAGGTACTCCACCCACGGTTCAACTCGCAAGTATCCTT